AGTGTAAAGCCTTTCAGCTTCAGTGTAGCCGGATTACAGCATCACCTCGTGGAGCTTATCATTTTAAAAGTTTTTCCTCTGCCACTGCCATTGCAGCATATCACTAAGTGTTAGGTAGGAATATTTCAGAAGTCATATTTGAGCCATTTTTTAGCAAACTTATCAATGGTAAAGCCAACAACTTTGTCTGAAAGGATATCACTTAAGCTAATGGCGAACAAATGTTGAAACTGCACAATATGCAAGAGTCCTGGCTGAAGTGACTGATTACAGCTACCAGTAAATAGTGCAGCTCAGTCAGGAATCCTACAGCCTGGCTTTGAAAAGTAGAAATCAGTACAAAGCCATCAACATGAATGTGAGTCACCGAAAGTCCCTCTCAGATCATATGACACTCTGATGTCTGGGTTGGTGTTACTCCGGGCTAGTCTGTTTAGAGTGGCTGTCTGGTCTGGATTTGTCTGGTTGCAGTTTTACAAGACAGAAAGCAAAAGACGACACAGTTTTATCTTCTTCCTTCCAACAAACCTCTTCATCAGTTACCAGAAGTCTCATAAACTCTGGCAGATTTCACAGACATGTCTCTTCTACCGAACCTTTTAAGGACACAACCATGATTCTGCTTCTTTTTTTTTTTTTTTTTTTGTTTTGGTCAATCTTTCGTATTCCCGTTTATTTATCTCTTCATCTTTGAGGTTTCTCAGGTTTGTAGCAGATTTAACTCCATCTTTCACAGCCCCTCCCTCCTTATTAATCCCAAATACTCCCCAGCAAATGCCTGCTGAGGTGAGGTGGTGCTCACACCTCACCCCTGCCACGTGGACCTCAAGGGATAAACCATCAATCATGCTCAATGGTCAACTTTCCTGGCGGGGTCACCCATGAAGACAGCGGGAGAGTTGCCTTGTTCTCCTCTCGCACCATAATTTAGACAGATTAGGGGTTATAGAAGCCATGATAAATGGGTTTGCCGTTAGTTATCAGAGAGATCTCTGACTTTGAGGCCCTGAACCTGGGGCAGGACACCTTCCAAGGTTTCCAACATCCCCGTTATTATCTCATCATGATTAGGGTTGTCACGGTAACCGGTGCAGCGGTAAACCCCGGTAAAAAAGTTGACAATAATAATAACCGTCTTGTTTTTAAAATAACTATATTATCTCGGTGGGTTTACTGTGGCTGCGGTGTAGGTGCGGTGACCCTTACCAGCCACCGTATCATCTGCTGAAGTTGCCGGCGGCACATGCGCGCCTTGTTGTTTACAACCAAAACTTTCTTGAAGCTAAAGCTGAAATAATGGCCAAAGGAGGAGACGGCAGTGCTCAGGAGGACATTTTTTATCCCTCAAAGACGACAAAGTGGGAAGTACGGGCATCTTTTGGATATTTGAAGAATGCCGAGGGACAGCTGATAGAAGACGGCTATCCTGTTTGCAGCACCTGCAGAAAAAGTGTCTGTGAAAGGCAGCAACGCTTCAAATCTCATGACACATCTGCATGACCATCACCCACAACTCTACAGTCAACGCAAGGCAAGCTAACGTTAGCGTTTTAGCTAAAATGTGTGATCCGAGGATTTGGGGAGAATGCAACGAGTCGCTATATAAAGCAGCCGCAGCGCCGCTGCCTGCATATAAACCGTGTCGCGGACACCCCATGTTGAAATGACGCTATGCATTACGGGGCTCCCAGGGGCAGATAAGAGTTGGTCTTTCTCCGAGAATAATTATGAATTTAACAATGATTACTGCCTGATGACATTTCCCACATCTGCAAAGCTCACTGGAAGGACACAAACCGAGGACAATATTTTCCTGATATACGGTTTATTACTCAAGTAAGGGTAAAAAAGTATCTGATTAGAAGGCTACTTGAGTACTGAGTATCATCTGATCTAATATTTTTAAAATGATGACATCAAGCAGACATAAAATAAGAAGTTATGGGCAAATATTGGTATTTTAAAGACTAAAGGGAAAAATGTAAACAAATAAACAACATAATTACAAAATAACACATTTTAGGCTAAATTTAGACACAAACTGAGGACAATATTTCCTGACATACAGGGTTTATTTAATTGTGTGAAAATGTAGCACGTTTAGAAAAAAATACCTCGATAATACCGAAAACCGTGGTAATTTTGGTCACAATAACCGTGAGGTTAAATTTTCACACCGTGACAACCCTAGTCATGATTGGTGTTTCCTGTTACCATGTGAAGGAAATAGTGTCCAGAGATTTATGGCAGTATGATATAATTGTCTCATCATGAACACCAAGGGACATGTCCAACCTGTACTGTGTAAGCAAAAGCTCAAGGGTCCAAATCTGCATCAGAGACAAAGGTCAAAGGTTGTGCTAACTCTGGATGAAACTTACACCTGCTTACCTGCATGTGGGCGAGCCAGAGATGAGAGGAAGGGATGTGCATTCTTTATGATTGTTGCCATACTTCTGGCCGTGTTTGCAACAGTCATCTAAAGAGAAGTGCTCTCCTCCTGCAAACACAACATGACATGTTTTTAATTAACGTCACAGCACACAGCAAAAATAAACCTTTAGAAGTTTAGAAAAGTAGGAAATTCATCTTTCATGTTGAACACGAAATCAAAACAAAAAATTTTGTAAATTCTGACATTTTCAAAGCATTTGAACCATCAGATTACCAAAATGAGAACCCAGAAAAACATTGATATTCACACAGATTTGTGGATGGCACAGGTGGACGGGACCAGGTGGGAAGGTTTCCCATTCAAACCACAGCTTTTCCGTGTGTGTTGAAGAGTTTTCACTGCAGCTGATACTGTTTGGATCTCGGAGGCCATGTTTGTGTGTTCAGCCCACTTGGGCCTCATGTAAGGGTTGTGGCTTTTAGAGGATTAGCAAAGCTCTTCACAACTGAATGTAAGGATAAACAGGAATTCATGCTGCATCCATCTTTTATATACAGTGGTGTATGCTTATACATGGTGTACGCTTACACACTTGTTGGTAAGGCTACTATAGTGCAGTAATGTTAATGTGCAGGGGTTCTGTCCAAGTTTATTTGGCAGCTTTTAACATTTATGATATGTTGTCCCATTCAAACCAAGTTCAGACACAAGATTTTTTGCTAATTGAGTTAAAAAGATGTTTTTGTTATTGAAACATGGATGAGTATGAAAATATCTCACAGTCTCTTAAGGGATTTACTTTATTTTATGCAGACGCTACATGATAAATATGTTGTTGTAGACACAAAGGAGGTTTTTTTGTCTGAAGCTGGACCAGCTCTATGTTGATCTGGCTGCTTGTTCCTGTGGATTAAAGCGTCTGGAATGCCTCAACTCTGTAAACAATCAAGCATCCCAATCACATCGATTCCCCCGCCTGTGGTTTGTGTGATCTGCCAAATGCTAAATAGCTTTGGCAGATACACTTCTCACACAGTGTTTTTCGTCTTTGTCTACGGTATGAACCAAGATCCTTTTCCCAAATGTCTTTTTTTATGTTCCATGAGAAAAAGCAGACAAAACAATTTTTTTTATTATTATTCTTCGAAATAAAAGTGGGTTCTATGGGTTCTACTGTGTGAGTGTACTACGCACAGAAGTGATGATGTAATAGAATAGTTTGCTCTGTTTACATGAAGCATCTGTTGTGAGAGATCTGGCAGGATTAACAAGGCTGGGAGGACAAGTGTTTGCAGTAGTGACTCTCCGTTTCATAGAGTTGATGCTTTCAACTAGCCTAGATAAACTAAAGCAGTAGCAAAAAAAATTGCTGTGCAAGGTTGGTGTAGTTGCACTCCTTTGTAGCAGTCTACCACTGGCCTTAATAGTGTTGCGTGTTTCTTATTGTGTTTGTTTGTTTGTTGGGTAGGCTTAGCACCAGAGTTGCAATAGGAAAAAAACTACAAAGATGGCCTCTGCTCAGAAACTGTGCTATATATATATGTATATATATATACAGTGGGGCAAAAAAGTATTTAGTCAGCCACCGATTGTGCAAGTTCTCCCACTTAAAATGATGACAGAGGTCAGTAATTTACATCATAGGTACACTTCAACTGTGAAAGACAGAATGTGAAGAAAAATCCACGAATTCACATGGCACGATTTTTAAAGAATTTATTTGTAAATCAGGGTGGAAAATAAGTATTTGGTCACTTCAAACAAGTAAAATCTCTGGCTCTCACAGACCTGGAACGTCTTCTTTAAGAAGCTTTTCTGTCCTCCACTCGTTACCTGCATTAATGGCACCTGTTTGAACTCATTATCTGTATCAAAGACACCTGTCCACAGCCTCAAACAGTCAGACTCCAAACTCCACTATGGCCAAGACAAAAGAGCTTTCGAAGGACACCAGGAAAAGAATTGTAGACCTGCACCAGACTGGGAAGAGTGAATCTACAATAGGCAAGCAGCTTGGTGTGAAAAAATCAACTGTGAGAGCAATTATCAGAAAATGGAAGACATATAAGACCACTGATAATCTCCCTCGATCTGGGGCTCCACGCAAGATCTCATCCCGTGGGGCCAAAATGATCATGAGAACGGTGAGCAAGAATCCCAGAACCACACGGGGGGACCTGGTGAATGACGTGTAGAGAGCTGGGACCACAGTAACAAAGGTCAACATCAGTAACACACTACAACGGCAGGGAATCAAATCCTGCAGTGCCAGACGTGTTCCGCTGCTGAAGCCAGTGCATGTCCAGGCCCGTCTGAAGTTTGCCAGAGAGCACATGGATGATACATCAGATGATTGGGAGAATGTCATGTGGTCAGATGAAACCAAAGTAGAACTTTTTGGTATAAACTCAACTCGTCGTGTTTGGAGGAAGAAGAATACTGAGTTGCATCCCAAGAACACCATACCTACTGTGATGCATGGGGGTGGGAACATCATGCTTTGGGGCTGTTTTTCTGCTAAGGGGACAGGACGGCTGATCCGTGTTAATGAAAAAATGAATGGGGCCATGTATCGTGAGATTCTGAGCCAAAACCTTCTTCCATCAGTGAGAGCTTTGAAGATGAAACGTGGCTGGGTCTTCCAACACGACAATGATCCCAAACACACCGCCCGGGCAACAAAGGAGTGGCTCCGTAAGAAGCATTTGAAAGTCCTGGAGTGGTCTAGCCAGTCTCCAGACCTCAACCCCATAGAAAATCTGTGGAGGGAGTTGAAAGTCCGTGTTGCTCGGCGACAGCCCCAAAACATCACTGCTCTCGAGAGGATCTGCATGGAGGAATGGGCCAAAATACCAGGTACTGTGTGTGCAAACCTGGTAAAGACCTATAGTAATCGTTTGACCTCTGTTATTGCCAACAAAGGTTATGTTACAAAGTACTGAGTTGAATTTTTGTTATTGACCAAATACTTATTTTCCACCTTGATTTACAAATAAATTCTTTAAAAATGCTGCCATGTGAATTCATGGATTATTTTTCACATTCTGTCTCTCACAGTTGAAGTGTATCTATGATGTAAATTACTGGCCTCTGTCATCATTTTAAGTGGGAGAACTTGCACAATCGGTGGCTGCCTAAATACTTTTTTGTCCCACTGTATATATATATATCCCTGGGCTCTGCTGGGTCCCCGGTGGGGGTGGTCACCCCTGAGTCCCGGGTCACAGGGTCCCGGGCTCGGCCGGCTAGGGGGTGGGAGGCTGCGGGCGGGCCTGTGGGCTTGCCGCCGATATCTCCCGGGACTCTGCCCGCTGCTGGTTGTGGCCCCCCGGGGTGATCCTCTGTGCCTCTCGAGGGGGGCGGGGGCCTTCATGGTTGCAGTCTCCTTGGGGTTCCAGTGTCCTGGGGCAGCGCCTGGATCTCTGGGACTTGGAGCTCCCTCCGTCTCCTACACATCTTTGGGGGGCAGATCTGTGGTCCCTCACACTATCTGTTGGACGCTCTTATAGAGAAACCTTACATAAACAAGCGCGTGTACACATACAGGTGCTCACATGGTGCTCTCAAAAGTATGGGCTTGGACACGTTCAACACATGTCTTAAGGCTGTGGTTGCCACTAAATGCACTATAATTTATTATCGTGTAATTGTTCAGTTAAACAATGTTGATTTTATATTTCATCATCAGGCTGTGATAGCTTGCTCCTAATGTATTGTTGTGTGTCCCATTTTTTTCTATTCTTTATCTTTCTGCAGGTCGAGAAGCAGACTCTTGTTCATTATTGTTTGTTTTTGTGGAACCCTCCCCCCTCTCTCCCCACCTTTTGTCTTTTCCTTTCTCTTTCACCTCTGACTCCGTGTCTGGTCGGAATTACAAAGCATTCAAAAACAATAACAATAAAGTTTTAAGTATCAGGCGTGACATTAAAAGCAGACGCTTTGATGCTCCCCCTGAGAGTAAATCTGTAAAGCTTGTCACCAGCATTCAGACATTAATTCTGTTTGTTTAACAGCCAGACAGGACACAGGGGGAAAAAAAGAAGAAACTGTTATATATATATATATATATATATATATATATATATATATATATATATATATATATATATATATATATATATATATATAGGATGGCTTGGCTTGACAGGCTTGCTTTCACCCAGAGGGGCATAAAGGAATTATAGAAGAAGCATTTAATCAAGAGACTGATGAATCAATTCAGTAACAATGTTGCAAATTAGAGGTGGGTGGACGATGGCTTTTTACTTTTTTCCATATTGCCTCAAATGGCTTCCGGGCTTCCGGGTTGGTAACAAGATGGCGCCTGCGCTTGGCTTAGCCATGGTCATCGGCCACTTTTTCAAACTTAACCCTTCCAGCTCTTCTTAGGGTCTCAATGACCTTCTGACTCACAGTGTTGCAGGGGACTGTTCTGTTCTGGTCCTTCTGGACCTGACTGCAGGAGAAGCTGAGAGACTGGGCAGGTCTATCAGGATCTGCTCTGGAGTGGTTCTCCTTTTATCTGTCTGAGCGTTCCTTCTCCGTGGCCATCTCCAAGTTTAGGTCCTCCACCACCACCCTTACCCATGGTGTCCCACAAGGTTCTGTGCTGGGACCCCTACTCTTTCTCCTCTATCTCCTTCTTCAGCACATTCTGAGCTCCTTTAAAGGAATCTCCTACCATAGTTGTGCAGATGACATCCAACTGTACATCTCCTTTAAACCCCATGAGAAGTCTGAGCTGCAGATGTTACACACCTGCTTAGACTCTATCAAAACCTGGTTGGCTGGGAACTTTCTACAGCTGAATGAAGATAAGACTGATATTCTCATCTGTGCCCCTGACAAGCTGGTTCCCAAAGTCAGAGTCTCTCTTGGTCAGCTTTCTTCTCACACCAAATCCTCTGTCAGGAATCTTGGCATGGCCTTTGACCCAGCTCTCACCCTGGATCCTCATGTCAGTTCTCTTGTTTGCTCTTCCTTCTTCCATCTCAGGAACATTGCTAAGCTGAGTCCCATTCTGTCCCACTCTGAACTTGAGATTCTTATCCACTCCTTCATCTCCTCACGCTTAGACTACTGCAACTCTCTTTTCACGTGTCTGA